ATATATATATATATTTTTTTTTTTTTCTTTTCCCCTGTTCCAGCAGAATCTCTCCTCCTCTCCACCAAACACATCTGGCTTGTGTGATGTTCATCTTCAGCCACATCAACAGTCAGGTCACATGTTGCAGATTTGGTTTTACGAACCATTTTATAGTGAACGGGTAGGAAAATTTTAAATCCATCCATTAGTTGAGATATTTTGCTGACAGGCAGAGTTGTGCAAACAGGTTTGTTTTCAAAATGATCAAGACAGCAGACGTGTATCTGTACATAAAAATGAGTGTTTAATTGAAACTTCTGTATCAAAAAATAGCAATATCCATCCTTCACAGCCACGAGTCACACAGCTAAAGTGAAACGTCTCCAATAAGAGGCTATGTGACGACTAGAAAAACTCTTTCACCGGTTGTTTATTTTCCCCAAATGAACCTTGACAGAACACAAACCAGATTCCTCCGATACGTCATCTTTCAACATGACCAACTCTCTTTCTTAAACTAAATAACATTCAAAATGCTCTTCTCTTTTTTCTTTTCAAATAAAGGTAAACGTTTTATTCTGCGTTACAACTGCTTCAGTGCATCCTCCACATCTCAGAAAGAAGTTTGAAATGTAAAAAAATAAGTTATAGGAATGCAAACCAAAAGGCAAAGTTGTGGGGTGTGGATACAAATTTGTTGGGGAAGTTTTTTGTTTGTTTAAGCCAAAACAAAAAAAAAGACAATAAATAAAAAATAAATAGCCACAGAGTGTGGAATGTCTACATGTTATAAATTAAATGCAAACAGGGAAAAAAATGTACACACAGAGAAAAATAAAATAAAATACATGCTGTACAATATTTGTAGACAAAAAAAATCTATGAATATTGCATTGATTGTGCATCTACACCCCAAACCCTGAGGGAGGCCTGGGGTGAGGGGGGGTGGGCACGTCAAGCAGTGAAGATGGTGGGAGGCAAAAAAATACAACAAATCAGGAGATAAGAGGGAGAACCAGGTGGGGGGAGGAGAGTGGAGACATTCAGAAAAGACAGGATTAGTTTCCAAACACCTGTTCAGGCTATAAAGTGAAAAAGCAGCGTTAAAGAGATAAACACAGAAAGTGTTTCAAGTATTTTATCGTAAAGGAAAAGCCCCCACCTCCTCCTCTCTCGGGAAAGAAAATTATTCTTTTTTTTTTAAAAAGAAAACCTTGACGCCCACCTTCCATCACAGCAAAGACAACTTTAGCCACCTCACCACAGGCAGATCCCCCACCCACCCCCCAAAAAACCCAAAGAGTTGTTGACGAAAAGCCCACCAGAAAAAAGCAGCTTTCCAAAAAAAGGCACTCCAAAATCAAAATATTTAAATAAAAACTTTTCTCAGAGCTCTATGAGAGCAGCCATGACTGAATTGAGGGGCCTTGCCAGCTGTTATATACCAGCCTAATAACAAAACAAAAAAATTAAAAAAGGGAAAAGGGGAATAAATAGTGCTGGTAAGACCGCCCAAACAGGAAGAATAAAACAGAAAAAAAAAAGTAAAGTTCCCCATTTGGAAACAAGATAAACAGAAATGAAAAAGGGTGTTGGGGGGTAACAATAAAACAAACGGTAATAAATTAGAAATTCCTACAAAAGAGGAAAATTAAAGTACTCTTTTTGTGTTTTGTTTCTTTAATCTGATTGGGCCAGGCTGCTGCTGGCCTTCAGTCCGGGTCGCCCCCCCCCAGAATGTCTGTTCAGTCCGTCCAAACTCAGAGGCTTTCTTTGCTCGAGCTCGACGAAGAGTCTGTGTCGATGGTTCTGAGGCGAATGTCCACCGCCGCCGGCTCCTCCGGCGAACCGGGCGACTCTGTCGTGACCCGCAGCCAGGAGTGGTCGCAGATCTGCTCGAGGGTGGGCCGGTCAGAGGGCCGCAGGGCCAGGCACCATTTGATCAGCTGCTGGCACTCTGAACGAGGGGAAAACACGGGGAGGGTCAAACTCAATCTGTTTTTGTGATTGTGAGGACTTCTGTGGTTTTAGGGTTGTACCCCCGGCTGAAGCTAGAGGGCAACACTCACCAGCTGAGATCCTCCTCCTGAAATACAGAGTCCCTCTGAGGATCTCTTCATCCTGCTCAAAGGGGATGTCTCCGCAAACCATGTCGTACAGAAGCACGCCTAGTGACCACACAGTCGCCGAGCGGCCGTGATATCTGTGGAAACGGATCCACTCTGGCGGGCTGTACACTCTCGTACCTGTTAAAACAAAACAACAACACATTAGTGATGAGCTGTAAAGAGAGCCGCCTTAAAAAAAAGAGGCTGAGTCACTTCATCCCTCCTCCCTTTTCTTTTAGAAGGAGGAACTTAAGATATCAAGCCCTAAAAGAAAGGAGGCATCACGTGACGCTTGGACTCTGGTTTCACAACAAACATCTGTTAGGTGGCTGAATGTGACTCACGGTATGACCGGAAACATTAAAGCACAGATCAGCTCATGAGGAGGATGAGTCACTTATTAATAAACAACAACAACAAAACGGATGCAATAATCTGAGTCATGTCTGCCAGCAGTCCTCTGCGGTTTTCTTGTTTTATAACCCGTGAGGCTCTTGGCGAGGAAAACCCTCCACCAAAAACAGATCGCTGCGTCACAGCCTGAACGCCTCCATGTCTGAATTTAGCACAGCGGAGCATCAAGGGCAAAACAGCCCACACGGTCACATATTCAGGAAAAATAAATAAATAAATAAARCCACTTCAGATTTCAGGGCTGAGACATCCTATAACACCAGCTCATGTAATTGGAGCGGTCAGAGGAGGAGGGGTKGGTGGGCCGCTTACCATCAAAATCAGTGTAGACCGTGTCCTTGAGAATCGCCCCCGAGCCAAAATCAATAAGCTTGAGTTCCCCGGTGCGCAGGTCCACCAGCAGGTTCTCGTCCTTGATGTCTCTGTGCACCACACCGCAGCTGTAGCAGTGCCGGACCGCCTCCAAAACCTGGCGGAAAAAGCCCCGCGCCGTGTCCTCGTCCAGGGCGCCCTTCTCCGTGATGAAGTCGAACAGGTCCTTGACCAGCTCCGGCCTCTCCATGACCAGGAGCCAGCCGTCAGCGCGCTCGTAATAGTCCAGCAGTTTGATAACTCCACGAAAAGACGAGCTGACCTTCTTCAGGAGCAGGATTTCCAGCGGCACCATGGCTCCATTCTGCAAGAAAATATTACCCATTTAGTCTTTTTTTTAAATATATATATATCTATATCCATTCAC